AGGGTGTCTTGAACCTCACTTAGGATGCTATTTCCCAGTCTAAACAGGTATTCGTCAGGTGGACAACCAGCTTTTAAAATGTGTTTTATGTTTTTTTAACATGCAAAGAAGAATTATCAATTTTGTTTCGTGGAAAAGTATGTTTTTTTTTGCTTGAAAAGGGTTTATCAAAACTTATATTTATTTATTTTTTAGAAATTTTCGTTGTCCACGAGTCGATTACACTGTCGGGCATGGGACTGCCAATCACCTGAGAAGGTTCGAGTCAACTCCCGCTAGACTTATATCGGCGAAGGATACCATATCCTATTGTTCATCAAATGTCTGGATCTTGATGTTATAGGATAGGTCATCTTTCTGCTCTATCTTCGGTGTGTCTTTATCATCAACACCGTACGCCCCAAAACTACTACTTGCGACCTTGTTTGATGGTTGCACGTATAGCAAAAGGCTATACGTGGACACTTATGCATCGGACATAAGCATCAAAAAGAACTGACCAAGAAGCAAGGAAAGAAAAGAACAAAAATGGGGTGAGAGAGATGAGGCACTGATCTATCTAAAACACCAAAAAAAGGAGAATGAATCAGTTCTCAAAACTCGTATCGAAAAGACCTGAAAAAGTAGGGCCCAAGTTCTTTCCTAACAAACAGATTCAAAATTTCCCAAACTTCGAAAGAAAATGATCGCGGGGAAACCACCGTTAATATCTCTAAACCCATACTAAAAAATCAAGATTCCTCCAACTGTCAGATTAATAGATAGCCTTATACATTAAATAAACATGAAATCTTCCCATAAAGCCACATAAACGCTCACGGCCAGGGTCAGTAGAGAGGAGGAAGCAGCCACCAAGGCTCTCGGCCAAGGCAAGGAACGGGGACAAAAGTGGTTCACGGCTAAAGCAAGGGACAGCTGCCAAGACCCATAACCAAAGGCAGCCCAAGAGACAACAAGCAAGGCTTACGGTTAAGGCAACAAAGGGCCCAGAAAAGAATTGTTAAAGCTCACGGTTTAAGACAGCAAAGAGCAGCTGCTAAAGCCCACGAACAGAGGCCATCTAAAGCACAAGTAAGGCCCACGACTACAGCAACCCAGAGCACAAAGGGGCTCACGGCCAAAGCAAACAAAAGGACCACCAATGGCAACTATGCCTCCCTGACAAACATGAAAGGATAACTAAAGTAATTATAATTTTTGGGATGGCAAACTTGATTCATTCACAACACTCAAACCAATCAAGCCTAGTAAGGAGGACCAAATCACACCCAACGACCTCAAATAGGCCTCACGGGTAAGGACCTAAAGGGGAGGCTCACAACTGAAGCAAACCCAAGAAACAACAAGTGAGGCTCACGGCTAAGGTGAACCCGAATCAATTCCCTACAAGTTTTGATATACATAGGAGAGTGCAAAACATCACCAA